TCATGCACATTACGATTTTCTTTATCTTTAATGAGTTTTTGCTCACGCTGTTTGTTTTTATAGTTATAAAATTTCTGCTCGAGAAATATAACGTCACGACTTTTATCAAATTTCTTCGACATTGGATCAAACACCTTAAACCCTTTCGTCCAATCAGAATAACCTATGAAAATCGTCTTGTGAGACTTTGCATTCAACTTTTTCCTTTGCTCTTTGGGAATGTGCATATTTGTAATGCCGCCAAACACTTTCAGATTACTTACATCAGGTTTCTTCCCAAATAGACACCGATAAGGAGTTATACCGATCAAAGCATTGGTCGGACTTCCATTTCGAAGGTAAGTTGCTGCATTTACAGCTTCAGCCCAGAATTTATTGGGCAAACGTGAGTGAATCAACATACTTCTTGCTGATTCTATTATCGTACGATTCATACGTTCTGCAACTCCGTTATTCTCTGTGTTATACGGAACAGTTGTTTGAAATGTGATACCATTGTCCTTTAAAAACGACTCAAACTCTTTTCATTGATACTCACCACCGTTGTCTGTGCCTATAATTTTAACTTGCTTACCAGAGATATTCTTTGCATAGTTGAAGACTCTTTAAATTTTTCCAAAACTTTATCCTAATATTAACATCTGAGAGTGATTTCTCGATTGCTAAGTTTAATCTGTGCGCATGCGAGTGTACGTAGATTGCAGGTGAGCTGAGGCCCTTTACTTAAGCCTTTTCTTCATGCTCCATCTCTTCCATATAACCTAATTCATTAGACATCTTTTTAGCTTTTTATTAATTGCCTATGCAAACGACCTAATGGAGTTAAGCTCAAATGCCCGACTGTCACTCAAACTTCCGTGGCTTCTTTGCCTCTTCTCCAATAAGCCTATGCCACACCCATCATTTTTGTAAGAAACAGACACGTAGTACTGTTTTGTTGATGTAAATGTAAGACAAATTTTTTGAGTTTTCTTGTCATTTTTTAGATTTTTCAAAACAATTTAAGTGTTAGGCACGTTTTAAGAAATAATTATACTTATAAGAATAAACTTAATTCTAGAAGGCAATCAGATGTTTTATAAGAAAAAGGAATTTCTTTACATGCAAAGGTTAAATTAGAGAACACTATGCGTCATATATATTTCTATTGTACAGCTTACTAAGTATTCACTGTATTCATGTAGACTGCTTGCACAAACTTTGTCTGTCAGTTATACAAATTGTTAAACACCTTCCTAAGTGACAATATAACTCATGCCTTCATTTTAATTCCAACATGCAGTGGCGTCGCTAAAGGGGGGCCTGGGAAGGGGGCATGTGCCCACCTAAAAATTGGCTGTGCCCCCAAGCGCCCCCCATTTGAATTTTAGATAAGAGTCTTCATATGCATCATTCAAAACTGAAAAAGAAGCACATGGCAATAAATGTAGCTCTTACGGAATTCGCGCAGCCTTACTGTAAAGAGAAGCATTCTATTAGCTGTGCCGACTAGTTTGCGTTGCATTTACCCTTTCTGGGTTGTTAGCCAGGTGGTAAAGATTTTAATTCCTTAAAAATTAAAAAAAAACAATAATTCTAGAATAATTTAGATCTCTAGTGGGCAAGGAAGAACAAGTACTTCTGTGATGCTTATCTTCAACCACATTACACCATATCATAAAATTTGTATGAGATCGTGGACAAGTATACTCGTAGACCCAAATTTGTAGACACAAAAATACAAATATAGCAATGACTATGAGTAAGGCTCACAAAAATACTTCAATTCTGGAAGTATTATAATATGAAAACAATTCATTAAAATCAATAATCAATCTACGTAACGTTATAACACAAAGAATGTACAAATCTGCCAAGGTTAAACTGGGAAGTTAAAAAATTGAAACTATTCATGTTGTGATAAATATGTCAAACATTTTCCAGTGTAGAAGCAATTTTTAGGGCCATTTCGCTAGGGACTGACGTGGTACAAAATTTGTGCCCACCCACTCGCAAAATCCTGGCGACGCCACTACCAAAATCTAGCCAAATACCTAAATGCAGGAAAACTAAAAAATCTAATTGCGTTGATTTCAACTGCCATCCTCGATATTCATTTACATGTACAAGTAAAACTGTAACATTACGTAGCTATGTTTGATCTGCAACAATTTTAGTTGTCTATAAATTCTAATTAAGCAAACAATTTATGTTAATATTAATAATTTTATGACCCTTAGATGCAGTCAAGAGAAAAAATTAATAACTTCTATCTGCGAGAAATACTTACAGATGTTTCAAAGAAACTTGCTGATCTTTTTGTCCAAGAATGGAACACTCGTTACAAAGAATCTCTCGGAGTATGGGAAAATACAAACGTTAGTGGTCAGAAGTTGTTCAATATTGAAAAAACAAAAAAGAAACCTCATGACAAACATATTCTGTCAAATTTCCTATATGGTGACACTAGTAAGTGGGATTGTACAACGCTATTCGCAGCGATATTGTATTCAAAATCAATTGGAACAAAAATTGATCCAAAAGTTAGAAAAGCTGTGGATGAACTTCGTAAAGTAAGAAACAAACTCGCCTTTAATGATGATGGAAAAGTATCTGATATCGAATTTCACACAATGGTTTGCGATATTGAAAAGTCATTTCAAGATCTAGGACTTTCATTCACTGAAATTAATGAAATAAAAAGTCAACGAAACAGATTTAGTTCTTTTCAAGTACTTCCTTGCAAAGCAAATCACGATGTGGTTAAACGTACAGAATTACTTAATCAAATCACAGCAGATCTCAATAACTTGCGCAGTACTAACAATAATGAACTAACATATTACTATATTTCTGGTAATCCTGGCAGTGGTAAATCTCAATTGGCCAGACAAATTTGCGAAGAAGTGTATAACTCGTTTGACTGGGAAAAGAATACGACATTTGTAATGACACTCGAAGGAATTCATATTGACTCTCTTTTGAAAACTTATGCTGAACTTTGCCAAAGATTAAACAATGATAAAACTGTCATTGAAAATATTTTAAAAAAAGCAAAAAGCAGCGAAGACAAAATCAAAGATTTTCAATTATTGCTGAAACAACAACTGAAATCATGGCAAACATGGTGGATTGTTGTAGATAACGTGGTTGAACTTGATAAAATTTATCCATTATTACCTCGAGTTGGTGATCATAGCTGGAAAAATGGACAAATTATAGTAACTGTCCAAGATACAGATGCTATACCACCAGATGGAAATCTAAATAAACACATTTCAGTTAGTCATGGTATGAACAATGAAGAATGTCTACAACTTCTGTCTGTCTTTTCTGATATTCATGATAAAGATGGAAAACTTTTAAAGGATTTATCAGACAAATTAGATCGTCAACCGTTGCACCTGGCAAATGCTGCTTTCTACGTAGGTAGTGTAAAAAGTGTAAATCCGACATTCACGTGGGAGCAATATTTTGATATGCTGAATGAAGGAGAGCGACAGAAGATGGATGGCTATTTTCAAAAAATAAACCCAGCTTACTTAGGAATGAAAACTGTTATGTTAGCAGTACAAAAAAATGCTGAAGAATCCAACTTGTTGGAACATGTTTTTAAACTTTTCTCGATGATATCTTTCGATCCCTTACCACAAGATGTTATAATACATTTTATTAAAAGCATTGATCAACATAAGTCTGCAGAAGATATATGCCTTCAATTAAAGCATTGTTCTTTATTTCTTAAAACGGAAAACAACGACATCCGCCTGCACAGCTTTGTACACGAAGCCATCAAAAATTATTCATCGCAGACCTTTGGCTGTAAACAAAACGAGAATAATTCTAAAAAGTCTGCAGCTGATCTTGCCTGTCAAGTTGCTTGGGCATTAAATCATTTTGAAGACAGAGAAGATGAAATCAAAATAATTCCACATCTAATTAAATTCATAACAAATTCATCATTTCAACATTTCCTAAATAAGTTGATCGATGTAAAATTATCAAAACAAAAACTTGATGAAAACAATTGGAAAATTGCCAAATATTTTGTAGATGTATTGGTAAGGTTTTGCAACTATAAACTTGCAACTAAAGTACTATATCAAATTACAGAAATTCAAACTAAAGTGTTAGGTGTTGATCATATTGATGTTTCATATTCGTACAACGAGCTAGGTGTCTTGCTTTGGAAGGATGGAGAACATGAAAATGCTAAAGATTTTCTTGAGCGAGCAATGGAAATTCAAGCAGAAACACTTGGACCTGACCATGTTAATGTTGCGACAATGTACAACAATCTTGGTTCGGTTTACAGAGATATGGGAGTGTACAAAAAAGCAAAAGATTTTCATGAACAAGCGATGAAAATTCAAACAAAAGCATATGGACCTGACCATGTTAACAATGCGACAACGTACAACAATCTGGGTTTGGTTTACAGTAAAATAGGAGAGTACGAAAAAGCAAAAGATTTTCATGAACAAGCGATAAAAATTCAAACAAAAGCATTTGGACCTGACTATGTTAACAATGCGACAACGTACAACAATCTGGGTTTGGTTTACAGTGAAATGGGCGAGTACGAAAAAGCAAAAAATTTTTACGAACGAGCGATGGAAATTCAAACAAAAACATTTGGACTTGACCATGTTAATATTGCAACAACGTACAACAATCTGGGTTTGGTTTACAGTAAAATAGGAGAGTATGAAAATGCGAAGCATTTTTGCATACGAGCGATGGAAATTCAAGCGAAAGCATTTGGACCTGACCACGTTAACAATGCGACAACGTACAATAATATGGGTTTTGTTTACAGTAAAATGGGAGAGTACGAAAAAGCAAAAGATTTTTATGAACGAGCGATAGAAATTCAAACAAAAGCATTTGGACCTGACCATGTTAACAATGCGACAACGTACAACAATCTGGGTTTGGTTTACGATGATATGGTAGAGTACGAAAAAGCAAAAGATTTTTATGAACGAGCGATGGAGATTGAAACGAAAGCATTTGGACCTGACCATGGTAATATTGCGACAACGTACAAAAATCTCGGTGTGGTTTACAGTAAAATGGGAGAGTACGAAAAGGCAAAAGGTTTTTACGAAAGAGCGATAAAAATTCAAACTAAAATATTTGGTCCTCATTATGTCGATATTGCAACAACGTGCAGCAACCTAGGTTGGGTTTACTTTTCTGAAAAACTTTATGAAAAAGCTCAACGCCTTTACGAACGAGCTTTAGATATCCAGACAAAGGTTTTTGGTTATAGCCATGGTAACACAGCTACAACGTACAACAACTTAGGCTCAGTTCATCTCGCCATGGGAGAATACGCTAAAGCAAAAGAATCGATTGAACAGGCCGTAGAAATTCAAACTAAAGCTTTTGGTTCTGACCACGTATATGTTGCTGCAATGTACAACAACTTGAATTTGGTTTACATGAAATTGGAAAAGTGCAATGAAGCAAAAGATTTGTACAAAAAGACTTTAGATATTGGCGATAAAGCTGAAATTATTGATACAGTTGCAACTTTCAACAACTCAGGCTGTGCTTTTAGTAACTTTAAAGAATATGAGATGTCGATTCATAATATTGGAAAAGCTTTAGGAATCGAAACAAAGGTATTTCCTACAGATCAGTTCAACAACGCTACAGTCTTGCAAAATTTGATTTTCGCTTACGATGCAACTAAAGAAAATGACAAAGCTGAAAATTTGTTGAAACGAGCTTTAAAATTTGGAATTGGCAAATCTTTTTCGTCTGCTGAAGAAATTACCAAAGAAGTTGATTCATGCAACTTTATCGACAGTATCAAATTATTGCCAGGTATGCAAAAAATCTTGTATGTAGTATTTAACTATTGTTGTATAGCATTTTTTCGTAAATGCAAATTTACAATAAAAGTTTTTGAAAGGACATCAGTTTTACAATTTCCATCGAAACAAATGACAGTATTTCTAAAAACAAATTTTTGCACGGTTATAAATTGTACAGACACTTTTTGTTAATGTATACTAATAAAGAAGATAAGTAAATTCCATTGTTTGGTATATACAAATTTGCAGTCAAAAATTTTCCAACTTTAAAAGGACATCAATTTTACGAATTTTTTTATTTCAATCATAACATTTCTTTCTTGAAACAAATGATAGTATTTCTAAACAAAAATTTATGTAGCGTAATAAATTGTTGCAGACAGCAATTTACCGTTATGAATATTGGGAATTTATAATAATCAAATCATACTTTTGCGTGGAATATATTTTCCTGCACAAGAAATATATTTACTTATCATAAATAAGCGCATGTTGGGAATAATGTCATATTGTACGAATTATTGTTTAGATTTTGCAACAGATGAGTTTTTCAAAAGTTCAATTTTACATGCTCAAGAAAAAAGAAAACAAGGTAACTATTTATATGGTTTTTTAACGATTTAACTGATGATGTTAAAGATTAGAAATTTGACTAGGTCATATTTTAAATGCAGTTTTTTTTATTAATGAATGAAAAGATTTCTATGGAAAGATTTAAGTATGTATAGGCTATCGTCTTAGACATTTTGCACACCTTGCTCATTAAAACAACAGTTTACTCGTTATGATTGGATTATGTAATCGCAGTGTTTCCAATATCAAGTGTAAAACTACTGCACTGTCCTCAATATATTAGGTCAAGCAATACCAAAGTACATCCGATTGACTGTAATGGTCTGAAACTGGAAGTAGTTATACTTTAATCCTGTAAATAGCACACATTGATGCACTATGGCACTTTTTGGCAACCATGATCTTTTTAATATGTAGCTAATTTGTCTACGATTAATGTTTTTATTTTTAAACCTTATTCCTCGTTTTTAGTATTTACAAAATTACTTTTACATGGTTTTATTCATGTTATTGGTTATTATGCCATAAATTGCTTTCATGAAGAAATTATGCATATTTACAAAATCCACCACTATAGACCACCTAAAAACATCGTAAAATAATTATCACGTAGTTGCTTTAATTTAGAAAGAGACATCGACTGTACAATGAAAGCAATGGCAGATTTAGCTCTTACTGTGGACACATCTGTGGATGCTGCCACCGAAATGAAGAAACCTGAAACATCTCTTGGTGATGAGGTAGAGGATGACGACGAATTCTTTGAGAAGAATTTTCTTGACGAAGATTGCGGTATTCGAGATGATGTTCGTAAATTATTAAAAAGGTTTGTCTCAAAGATATTTACCCCACTTCCTCTAGAAATGTTGACTTAAAGAGCACAAACGGTCCAGGTCACTATAACCTATGTAATTTCAAAAATGAAAAAAATTGTACACTAGTTTATACACGACACAATAGCTACATTTTTTTCAAAGAAACTGAACAGTGTCAAATAGTTGTGAGAACTAGTTACTTGCGCTAAATTTTTACTAGCCATTCATGATGGCGAATACTCTCATCAATACAATATTTAGATATTTTTCCATACAATGTTCTCTTCTCTTTTATATAGTTAAAGTTGGACTTTTTAGCATTCTAGCCAAAAAAACCCACGTCGTATTGAAAGGATGCTTATTAACTATGCTAAATAAAGTCACGCGTAATTTAAATCCTTCTGTGTTCACTGATTTTGACTTTTTTCCTGTGAACTAAGAATCAAGTTGCAAATTTCAATCGGTACTAACATTAAAAACAACATGACTTAGTGCTACGTTCACCTCTGAACAACTTTTACTTATTCTATCATTAATTTGATTTTAGCATTTTCAATAAATGACAGGAAAATTGTTAAACATAATCTAATTAATACATGTTGCTTTTGTTGTATCTAATTTATTGAATATTATTATATATTATGTAGTTTTCCTTGGATATGTGGTGGATATGGTGTACGATGGGAACCCTATCTATCTTTGTATGTGACTGTGGCAGCTGAAAGACAAAATGATGAAGATGCATTAAGAAAGGAAATTGATGAAAAATTTGGATGGAAAGCTTCTCGTTACTTTGAATTTAAACCAGAACCAAAAGAAAAATCACAGTTTCGATTGTTGTCAGACCTTAGAGTAGAAAAAAGAGAAAACGGTCCTAATCCAATGCGTAAAAAGAAGGACAAAAAAAAGATTCATGAAGCAATGGCAAAAGGTTCTGTCACAATGTTTTGTAACACAGACAAGAAACACTACGCTTTGACTTGTTTTCACAATTCATGCATCACTGACCGACAAGCCGCTGGTATCGAATTTAATTTTTCGCACATCTGGGAAGATATAAAACAATTATGCGAGAGAATTTCTAGAAGAGAAATCCCAGATGAAAATAGATATTATTACTTTCCGCTTATGGGTAAAGAAATAAAACTTGGAGCTCCTTGTTTTCGATCATTTAATGAAAACACTGACATCATGGCCATTGAAGTGATTGATTGTAAAAAGATTACTCGCACCCCTTTCGTAATCACGGAGACTGATTGGAAAACAGTTAAAAATCAACTAAAGAAAGGAAATGCTAAGGTTCAGAAACGTGTTGGAGGCGCTTTAGGAAAAATTTTTGACATTAGCTATTCATACTTATGCAAAGAAACCGGATGTGACATCTTCAGCAACGTTATCACCATTGAATGCGAATGTCCTTTTCTTAAAGATGGAGATTCTGGAATGTTAATATATTTCTACAATGAAGACACAGAAAAACACATACCTCTGGGTTATGGAGTCAGCGAACATAAAAAAGATGATGGAAAAATTGTCTATTTAGCATTTAGATTGGACGTCGCATTGAAAAATCTAAACTTAAAAAAATGTCGTTGGTACTTGCAGGCATAAAGAGTGATCTTGGACTTATTTAATGAAGTTTGGATTGAGAATAGTTTATATTCATGTTTTTATTAGTTGCGAAAGTACTTTTTCGTATTCACATACATTGATTTAGGTTTATTGTGTTTATTAATTACTTATTTCACTTTGTTTTCTTATTATCATCATTTTGGTGTCATTGGTGAAATGTTCATTTTCACTGTCACTTGTATTCATTATTCACATATTTAATGCACAATTTTTGTTATTATAATTTATATTTTTCTTCCCAAATCCATAATTTTCTCTGTAAATTTATGATTGGAGTTGAAATTACGAAATCTTAAATGAATTTCAGTTGGTCAAAGTTCAATTTTAGGTGAATGATAAAATTTTACCAGACTCTGACAACTATATTTACCATCTCAAGACTATATCTTCAATGTGTAAGTATTTTCTGCATGGCTATTGTTATAGTTAAGCTAATCATTTTTAAACAAATAATCATTATGTACTCGCCTATAAAAAAAACCCAGTCAAACTGAACACAGCATAAGTTTGCGGAAACAAATTTAAAATAAAAACTATTGTCGTTTGTCTGAATTCCGGAATGTCTTAAGTTTACTAACAAATGAATAAAATATGAACTAAAATTAACAGCCACAGGACTTTCTGCACGTACCGCCGTTTAGTTTAGCTCAGAATGCAACAAAAATGCTCGTATAACATCATCAATCATTTCTTTAACGCTCAACTGGTGGCGGTGTTCAAATTCATTTTTGACCACAATATTTCCATGGGAGAACACGTTCCAAAAAGAATAACGGAGTTTGTCATCATTGAGCGAAACATCTTATGAGTCATCGTTAGAGTACAAGATACAAAATCTTTACACATGTAGATATTAATATTTATTCAATTTTATTAATTCAAAAACGCTGGTTTACAAAGAAAAGGTCTGATTTCAATTCTTGGTGTGCAAGTTAGGCCTGTTTCAAACGTCGAACTTGACATGCACCGAACGCATTAAAAACAAAAGAAAATGAGATGAAATTCCTCATTGTCTTTTGTTTTAAATGCGTTCGGTTCATGTAAAGTTCAACGTTTGAATATAGGCCTTAATTTCAGGCCACTCATGTTGGACGATTTTAATAAAGCATTTTCCTCATTTACAATGCAAATGTCATCAAATATGACGAACATTTCATTGTTCTCTCTCTCCCCAGAGAATGGTTGCACATTACGTATAGAAGGTCCATTTTAAACAAACAGTATTTATTGTATGACACATAACTTCTGACATATGAGATTAGGTTAATGGTAGACAGTCAATTGCACTTACTAGCCAATAGGAGCACTGAGCGGGCTAACTACAGTTATTTAACTACAAAGCACCAAATTTTACAGGTAAATGACATGTACTCCAATCGGAAGTCTTTTATGTACTTCCAAAACTGTGGCCTTTCCTAGGTTTTTCTTGAATCATTCTTGAAACGTATGGGTATTTTTGATGAGAATTTTATCAACATGAAACACCATGTGTTAGTCTTCATGTGTTTTTACTAAACAGTTCACGATCTAGGTTGTTTCGGGCAACCCTTTAAACATAAGTTTATTTGTTAATGGGGATTATTTTCTCTTATATCACAAGTATCAAAACTTTCCTGTTAGTTGTGATAGTCATATTACAAATAAAATGGAAAAAAATGTTGGATGATTGAAAGAATATGACGAAATTAATACAAGGCTTTGATAAACTACATAGCTCTCTACATCCTTTAATGACAATAGTGTGCTATGGTTTCATATAAGTCTCTTCACTTTCTTTTTCACGGCCTTTTGTTTCTCATTAATAAAAAATTGTTTACTGCTTAATTAAGAATTTGCATATGTTCAATGATTGTTAATTTTGTGACTATTTTGCATTGTATCATAAATATAACATTTGAGGATTGTTTGATAGACGACAATATATTCAAATTAGTTCAGACATCCAATTTTTTTATGTTTATAGCTTATTAAATAACATTACATAGTTTTTTATTGGTGGTTAATATGGTGTACGATGGAATCTTCATTTATTTTCATATGTGACAGTTGTAGCAGAAAAACAAAATTCTGAACCGCGTTCAATCTTCCTGTGTTGTGTAATTGAGTTTATAATTAAAACATATGAATGTAGAAGTACTATAAAGAAAAGAAAAAACGTTTTTGAACTTCTAAAGCAAGCATGCCATAATTATGCATTGCAAAATTCAAGTTCTTATACCTTTTTATGAATTTGCTTACATTAGCTACAGATCAAAACTACTGTTATATAACAATCACGTCTTCAAATTGTTTATGCTTCAGACTTCAAAGAAAATCATGCTTGGGCATGATTTACATTAGAAACCAGGATAGCTACAAAAAATTCAAAAAAAATAATAAATTATAGTATTGAAATGCAGTTTAATTTGTCATAGAGATGAATGTTGCATATTCTGCTTATTTTTTCAGAATATTTTTCTGGAAAAGTGAAAGCTCAAATCATCATAAATATTGGTGTAAGATAACAATGAACAAACATTTTTCCTGATCAAGAAGTTTACCACCAACGTAACAAAAATACGAATAATAAATATTGTCTTTGAAGGAAAACGGTGAAGGTAAAGTTAATATTTAAATTCGAATAAGAATTAATTTATGGGTATACAGAGTCGTCAGCAACACAAATAAGTTTTTATTGATTTGTAAATTTGATGCCAGACAAAGTGTGATCATTTTGAAAATGCAAAGAAATTTTTTCTCAAATTTATGTTGCGGTCCATGTATTTAACTCCATTCAGCAGGTGTCTTTATTAAAAAGCTTGTATTAAAAACTTTATTAAAAACTTTTCTTATCCACTAACAATGAACGGAATAAATTTTTCGGACCGGCCAAGTGCCCTGTTTTCCTTAAACTTCCCTGGATGGGTAAGGCCTTTAATGACATCGAGAAGGAAACTAAAAATATTACTGAGAGTTTATTTTTTGCATGCAATGTGTTCTTTATATTCTCAAAAAGAACTATTCTTCCACCCACTTCCAAAGAGTCTCTCCCTGCTCAAATATCAAGCAATGTAGTCTACGAATTTAAATGTGAGTGTGATGCTCACTATGTAGGTAGGACTTCTCAAAGGTTGAGTGAAAGAATAAGACAGCATGTACCAGCTTCTGTCAGGAATAAAACTTTTCCTTTACGACAACTACCAAAACGTAGGTGTAAAAGTGAAAATCCGATTCTATGTGATTCAACGATTGGAAAACATCTTTTAAGCAACACTCGCTGTGCCAATGCTTATTGTGATGAAAACTTTAAAATTATTAAAAATTGTCGCTCGTTATTCCAGCTACGTGTCATGGGTTCGCTATTAATTAAATTGACTGATCCTGTCCTTTGCCGACAAAAGGATTACGTGTTTAATCTGTTTCTGTTTTAAGTGTCATCTCTAAAAATAGGGATGACATTGACCTTTTGTAACATTATAAATATAGCATGATTTGGAGGTTCGCATTTAGCAAACGTTGACACCTGACGAGTAGTCTGCCGAAATGCATAGTGTCTCTTTCTAGCTGTAAATAACGGTTCCTTTGAATTGTTGGGTTAGTGTTCTGGTTAAAACAGTTCTTTTAAGAACTATTACATTGTTATTATCACTATTCACCATGGTATTTGTTATTTTGAAATCCATCTTAAAGCTTGAAGCTTAAATTCAAATAATGTGTAGGCAATATTATTGGCAGTTTAAATTTTTTGATAACTGCAGTTCCTTACAATTCTTTTTCAAAAACTGCATGGCAACAAAAGATCCTTTGATGTACAATGTATGCGAAACAAAGTAACGGACGTAGACAACTTCGTTCGTACAGCTTCAACGTTTGTACCGTACGACAACAACTGTTTTTTCACAAGGAAAACAACCGGACACATTTTTTGTCAGTAGTGGTTCGTATAGCTCATTCGACTTTGCTCAAGATGCTAATCTCGTACAGGTACCTCGTTGGTAATGTCGTACAGGTACCAAGTTGGACATTCAGCATTTTCAGAATAATCTATGATGAATATCGAGATCAACATCGACGGGAACGACGTTTGACCGACGATGAAGACAATGATGAAGATCTTACTCTATTTGATGCCATCAATAAAATTCCAATTACAGACAAACCTTTACATATCGGTACCGGTCCATTGTTTATAAGTTATCCGTATAACGATACTAAAAAGTTGGGAAATCAACTCAATCAACACTATAAAGCGCTACTCAAACACAATAGGGATACGGATGTCACATCGTTGTTTAAAGATGTGAGCGTTGACGAAACGCTGATTTTGATGTTTACATGCAACAACAATGATGTGAGCGTTATCACCTTGAAACATTTTAATCGCACATGTGCTGTTTACGCTTTGTACCATAAAATAAGTCTTTTTACACGAAGAACCTCGGGGAAAATTATCCTGAGATCGATACTCCACTATAGAACACAAACACGAATGCGGCAGTCACCTTCAATATTCTAAAGCATGGAGAATTTTTAGATATTGATCATAATGTTGTCATTTTTGATACACCTACCCATATTGGAAACAAAGATTATGAAGGACCATTTGCTGATTTCGATTATAAAAAAATTGATAAGCCTTTTAATCAACGCTACAAGGAACCAACAGGCACCAATGTTAGTCATGATGTCACCGCGCGATTTGACGATGCTGGTATTCAAGTGGGTGAGAATACTTTATTGCAATTTACAAGTGATAATGCTGATATGCGTACAACTATCATAGTTCATAACTTCAAAACATGGATGGTGTTTGCAGAAACAAGTAAATTCGGTATATTCACACGTGAAACATTGGACAACATTTTGATTGAAAGAGTTGCTTTGAGGGGTACCGATCCTGTGAAAGCTCGAGTGACGTTCAACATTTACAAATAGGACAATTTTGTTTCGACCACGGAAAAACATCCCATCAGAATTAACAACAAACCAACACATAACGATGCGAATCAATTGGGAAATCCATTTAATCAACGCTATGCTCTCTTCGCGCAGAAGAATGCGGAAGTTGACGTCACCACCTTCTTTTCAAGCTTAAGCGATGGAGAACGGGTTTTGCTACAATTTACATCTGCGAATAAAGGATTAAGAGTCGTTCATATCATTCACGATGGAATAGAATGTGCAGCGTTTGTAGAAACAAGCAATCTTGGCATATTCAATTGTAGAACAAATGGAGCAATTAAATTTAAAGAAATAGGAAACACGAGTTTTAATTGTGGCGGAACTTACGTTACCTTTAACATTTTCAAATTACGATAACTTCACGATATTCTCCTGGATACGGATATTCTTGGTGGACCCACCCACCTTGGTGATAAAGAGTCTTTTGCTGATTTCAAATACAGTAAATATGGAAATCCGTTCAATGAACGTAATGCCATTAGATTGGGTAACGACAGATAGGTTGATGTCACCGCTGGGTGATGTCAGATATTATTGTTCTTAAAAGGATCGTATTACGTAGTACGAATCCTTCGAATGCACGTGCCACGTTCAATATTTACAAATTGGAAAATTTTGTTGCCACCGCGGAGAAACCTTCCATCAGAATTAACAACAAATCAAACTTTCTCGGTTTTGTCACCCAACAACCATTTCCTAATTTCGACTATACGAAATTCGGCAATCCGCTCAATCAACGCATCAATATCCTACTCGGTCACGATAAGTTGGTGGATGTATTCTCCGAGCTTACCGATGTGAGAGTGACGGAAATGGTTTAGTTGCAATGGAAGTCCGATGACAAAGATGCATGTGCGCGTCATCGGGATTCTTCACAACAATAAGACTCATTCCATATTTGCCGAAACAAGTCGATGGGGAGTTATCAATCGTGAAACATCTCGAAAAATCGAATTGAGGGGTGGTTCCTTACGGGGTACCAATCCTAGCAAAACATCTATGACCTTCACCATTTACAAATTCAGGAAATTCAAGTCTCTTTTTCCAAATGTGGACATTCTTGAGAATCCTACTCATTTTGGTGATGCAAATTCGTTTACTCATTTCAACTATCGTAAATATGGAAATCCGTTCAATCAACGTAATGCCATCAGATTGGGTTACGATAGACAGGTCCATGCCACCAACCTCTTTACAGATGCCGGTATTCAAGTGGGTGAAAAAGTTTTGTTGCAATTCACAAGCGATGACGCAAGCATGCGTAGCGTGATGATTATGCATAATTACAAGATATGTATGGTCTATGCAGAACAAAATAAATTCGGACTATTCAAACGCAAATCGAGTGATTCGATCCGCTTATAAGGGGTTGCATTACGTGGCACAAATCCCGAAAATGCGCGAGTTACTTTCAATATTTATAAATTGGACGATTTTGAGGTGCCACGTGAAAAACCGCTTATTAAAATAAGAAACAACCGATCGCATATTGGTGAAGGACATGACTTTTCTAACTTCAAATATAGCAACAACGGACAACTTGGTAACCCATTCAATCAACGAATTAAATTGAAACTTGGTCATGATCATGAAGCGGACGTCACGGAAAGATTTGCCGATGTCGAGGCTGGAGAAAAAGTTCTGTTGCAATTTACGTCCGATGATCCGTACATGCGTGTTGTTGAAGTTATTCATGATGGGACAATATGCGCTGTGTATGCCGAGCAAAGCAAATTCGGTATATTCCATCGTAAAACAAAGAAATCGATCAAATTTAAAGGAATAGCATTACGTGGTATGAATCCTAGGGCTGCACAAATCACCTTTAATATTTACAAAATTAAGATACCTTCATCATGTTTACGCGGATATTGACATTCTTGGTAAGCCCACATTAATCGGAAATGATACTGTTAAAGAACCTTTTCTTAGTTTCAACTACAATAAATATGGAAATCTGTTCAATCAACAATACGAGGAACGGCATGGTCATGATACAGAATTGGACATCACGTCGAGCTTTTCAAATGTCAATGTCAATGAAACGGTTCTACTGCGATTTACGAACAATGACGCAGACATGCGTAGTGTTGTGATTGCGCATAATTCAAAAAAAAATACTTGGTGTATGCAGAAGTGAACAACTTCGGCATATTCACGCGTGAAACGAATGGAACAATTAAACTTCGAGGTATAGCACTACGCGGGACGAATCCCGCACATGCACGCGTCACCTTCAATATTTACAAAAATCGGAGAATTTCGACCCAACCGTTAAAAACCCAAATATCGTCATCAAAAATAAACCGTCTCAGCTTGGATCACCTGTTGCTGATAATAAAAATTTACAATATAATGGAACAAATCAACGTCTTGATCTAAATCTCGGTTTCGGAAAAGAAATAGATGTCACTCCGTTATTTTCACATGTTTAAAAACAGTGTTGTTATTGTTTACGAGTGGTCATTATTATATGCAAACTGTAGTCATTCATAATGGAAAAGAATGTACCGTGTATGCCGAACAAAGTCAATTCGGTGTATTTAGACGAGAAAGGGTTCCATCAAATTCAAAGGTTTAAATCTAGCTGGAACAAACACGGCTGAAGCTAATGTCTCGTTCAACATTTACAAGGTGAGGAATTTTATTGATGTTTATTGGGATATCGAAATTGTTGGTCAACCGACTCATATTGGAACAACCAGATCGTATTTTGCCGGTTTTGAATACAATGATGCTCATCAATACGGGAAATTGTTTAGTCAACGCTTCAAATCACTGTAAATGAGTCACCCGTTCCCGTTGAGTCACCTGATTTTTTCAGGTTCCTGACACGATTGCTTAAATTGTCCAGCAAAGTGCGAAGATCATATCTTCATTTAGCTTCAAATTACTCTTGGAACACAATGTAGAACGGGATGTCACCCATCTATTCACCCACGTCACCGCAGAAGAAACTGTCATGGTACAGTTCATGTCGAATGAATATAACATGCGCGTTGTTATTCTTATTCATGATGGAAAACAACGTGCCGTGTATGCTGAACAAAGCAAGTTTGGTGTGCTTACGCGTAAAACAAACGGCTCCATTAAACTCAAAAGATTGGCTGGACGAAGTACTAAACCAAGCAATGCCAATGTGAACTTCAACATTTATGAATTAAGAAAATTTTATCACGTGTAGAATCTTACAGATCCCACCCATCCTATAGAACCTGCGAAAAAGAAAAGAAAAACCTCACATAGTTATTCAGATACGAGTGACGTACCCGATGATTCAAATGCTCAAACAAGATTTATGGTATATAATTACGCGCACGGAAAAAATAAACGCAAATACAACGACTTCTATTTGTTTCCGCACGTGACGAACAAGCGTCTTTCCGAAAATAAACTTAAAATAGAACATAACGTCTCGTCCGTTCATTACCTACATTGATGGTGTTTCAAGAATTAATCCCTATTACACACGATACGATCACGAATGCTCCAACAGTGAACAGAAATCAGGTATTAGAATTATCACGCATTCTTGATCAATTCAAGACACCCTGTGGATTGGGAAATCATGCATCTGGCTTCGATTGGGCACGTGCATTGAATATGACGATCAACACACACGACTTCGATTTATCTGTATTCCAAGGAAGGAATTTTAAATCGCCTTCACTGGGTCAAACATTTGTTAAAAACTATGAACTCGTCTCCGTACACGAATTCATTAAGAGACAAGGAAAATTGATTGCAAATAACTCAAATATACCATCACCACAAATGGTGCATATCATGACCTTTATAAAAGCAGATGATTTCAAATCGTTATTAAAATTGAAGTAGTCAAAATGTGTTTTAGTTTTTGTGGTACATTTGCGGGTAACACACCTGGTTTGGTTTTAGAAAACGATTACGATTTCGAATTATTCAATCATCATCGCTATACCATATCCATCGATAGCAATTTAATCGATTGTAGTATCGGCTATTTAGATAAAAATAGTAACGTCGTTCCAATTATCTTCGATGGATATGATTTTTCAAAAGAATTCAAACCGTATTTATTGAAATTATATTTATTCGAAAATACACAAGCTGTACGGACCTCGACGGTGTCTGTCGTGATAACCTTCTCGATTTTACCAACATTGAATCATTTTATCATTGGAATCATCATGTTTGATATGAAAACAAAGTCGAGAGTGACAAGTATACGCTCAAATCTAGATCTGACAATAATTACACCGCACATGTCGTTACATGTTTGAAAATGTATAGATCGTCTGAGAGGGACTGTTAGTGTTGGAGTTTTCTGACGTTTAGAAAAGTTAAGATCAAATGAACATTAAATTTTTTTGTTAGTTGTCAGCTTTCTGCAGATTGTTTGACATATATATTTATATGTGAGTACACTGTTATTTGGGATTGATCTTTAGATGCCATGTTGTTGGTATACATTACACCACGATCAAATACTTTCATAAACAAGAGTGATTTGCTGGCTGTGATAAGTTTCTAAACTTTACACGCTGTATGGTGTGAGATTTGACTAAGAAACAAAATAAAAAATCTTGGAATTTTGGAGAATAGAAGTTATATAATAGAAAACAAACAAACTGATTCTCAATTCTACAGTTTAAGAAATAAACAATAGGTTCACTTTGATGTATATTTGATTTAGTTAGACAACTTAGTGTTTCTATTGGTCAGAAAATACATTTGATTGGCGCCATTACACTGATAATGAAAGTAATAAGATATGCGTGAAAATCTAGTTCTAGCAACGTAAGCACAAGTGATAAAGCAAAGCAAAGCATATTCTCCAGCGATTGTAGAAAGTAAAAGAAAAGGATTTTCTTTTCAATTTGTTTTTGTTCTAACTTATTCTTATGTCAAGTTGCCGTGCTTATTCTTATGCTTATGCTTATGCCGATGTTTGCGTCATTTGCTTTATTGCCTTCTCATGAATTTTCTATTTTTACTCTTTGTTTGTCCTTATTCTTATGTCGTTAGTGAAAATCTTTGGCTGATTACATGAGACATCGTAGCCGGGATTCAGCCAAGCGTTAAATGATTTTGGCGAATGGAAACGATTCAATAGGAATAATTTCACAATATTCTGATTTAAGAATAAGGAATTACTTGTGGTGCTGAACAAACAGCTGTAATTTTTACGCTTGAAGTTTTGCCTCCTGTCAATCCCTCGAAATCCTTTTACGTCTCACTGAATCTCGGTTAACCGGGATCATGTAAACAACCTCTTAATCAAAAATTTTCAATAGAGTGTGAATACTGTTTGTCCTCTAATCTGTGTCCAAGTAAATAAATATGGTAATATACCTAAACAATCTAATAATTTAGAAGTTATCTATTACATGTACATCAAAATGCTAAACACAAGCTATACAAGCTATTAAAAAGTGTTTCGGAAGATTAACTCCTTTAGGTAAGCTTTTGAAGAAAATTTTATTTGTAAGATAGCCACTAATATGAAAAATTACTGTCTTACACAT